ACAAAACTAGTACAGTAAAACAACAACTAAACTTAAAGAAACATCAAAACTTTAAGACTAATTGACTAAACTTATATACACGTATTCAATATCTTTCACATTCACATAGTATAATTTATTATATCAGTTTTTTCATATGCTTTTGGTTTTCAGCAGTTATAGATTATGATGTCGAATTTAATTTTGCTTAGTTTTTTTGGATTTATTCGAATTTGTGGGGTGTTTCTTTGACCAATTTTATTTTGGGAAATTTGCTAAATTGACTCTGTTTGAATTAGCGTTTTGTAAATTAACCTTCTACCTATGATTGTTTGTCCCAATAACCTTTCATATTTCTAAATCCCAATTTTATCCTTCTAAATTAAAAAAAATTAATCTTTTACTAATATATAAAAATGATTTTCGTTTTTACAATTTATTTAAAATATTTACAATAAATTTTTTCTTAAAATAAATATGTTAACGTAGTATATTTAAATATTTAAATAAATATTTCGGATATTTAAATAAATATGTTTACAATGATTTCGGATATTTAAATAAATATTTAAATAAACTTTTTCTTAAAAAATAAATATTTATAAAAATGATTTTCGTTTTTACAATTTATTTTAAATATTTACTAATATATAAGAATGTGTTTTYTCCAATTAGAAGTAAATATCCGAAAAAAAMATTWMAMAAAAAATAATTAAAAAAAATTATAAAAATAAATAAAGAAAAAACGTAATTGGAAGCAAATATCCGAAAAAAATTATTTTATGGAAAGTAAATATTTAATTGTCCTAGATTTAGGGGATTTAAACTACTTTTGGTAGTTTAGACTTTCTACCATTTGGTAGAAGATAGAGAAAGAGGTAGATAGAAGGGGTAGAATATGCATTCTGCCTGGCGTAGATGACAAAGACATTGGTAGAAATAGCATTYTGCGACTGGTAGTACTGAAGCAAATGGTAGATTGTGCAATCTGCGATATGTAGAAATTGAGCAATTAGTAGAATACTTCATTCTACCACTCGTAGATTTATTCAAATTCGTAGAACACATAATCTACTAGTAGATTCGACCATGGTAGAAACAAAAATAAATAATTTTCAGTCATAGGTTAAAAAAAAAAATTGTACATCAATCTATATGTCTTGTGTATTACTTTTTTGTATTTTCTTAATTTTATAAAATTATAAAAACCATTTATTTGTAATTTTTGAAATTAATCAAAGGGTAATTTAGGAAAAAGTTGGTAAAAATAAGGCAAAGGTTATTTCGCAAAACACTAATTCAAACTGAGTCAATTTAGCAAATTTCCCTTTTATTTTTATTGCTATTTTAAAAATAAATACTAAAATCCGTGAGTCACCCATAAATTCCGCTAAATACAGTGAGTGAATCAGATTTGGATATAACAACATTGAACTACGAGTCACATAGACCATTTTATCGCAGACAGAAAAAAAAAAACTATGACTAGACGGATCAAATGGGCTGGATTAACCCGTTTTGACATCTCTTGATCTATTTATCTCAATTCTAAGATTAAGAAAAATATCAAAAATCTAGAAAATTTTCTTTCACGAGAAAAAAAAAATTG